CCCCCCCCCCCCTCCCCCCCCCTCAGGAAACCAGAGACTCGCATGAACCTTTCAATTTCATCCCCCCCCCCCGGCAAACCACAGGCTCTCGTATGAACCGTTCAATTTAGCTCCCACGCCCCCTCCCCCCCTAAATTGATACTATCAATAATACGCTGGTTTCTGGCCCTGGACTGCCTCCCTGCTAAAAGCAAGACTAAACTCAAGCTCTGCTACGCGAGCTTTCGTGATTTGTTTAATGGACAAAGCTATCCAGCACCCTGCTCTTCCCTGCCTCGAAACTTTGATTCCATCGCCCTAGCAGGAACACAACTGTCGGGATCATTGAACGTCAAGACACCTGCCTGGGCCGCTGGAAGATGCCACTGAAGCCTGGCATGATTTTGCTTCCTGTTGCGGTATCAGCGTGTTGCTGAGGCATGATTTGAGGGCCTCTGCATCGTCCAGCCACTTCAGTATCTCGAGTGCAAGCCTGCGTTTGCGTGTTCAAGACCGCAATCCGAGGTTTGTGCACCCCATGCCGCACGTTTTTCCGCCGAGAGCGAGAGCAAGGTCCTTGCACCTCACCAGTCGAGGCGGTAGTTCGACGAAGGCCGGCCAAGAGACTCATCCATATGACCTGCAGCCCCTCATACTGCTGCATCTCCTTCAACAACAAGGTGGCGGTTGGTGATGCGACGGTCGACAGCCACTATGGCGGTTGCCTGGTGCTGCGCACCCATGATTCCGCACATAATCGCATGTCGGGAGTCGTCCCCCTGTTCAGTGCCAGCACATCGAACACAAATGTCAGTAAGGCCATCCCGTATGCAGCACGGCACCACCAGCCAGGCGGCAAGTTTCTCCTTTGCCCGCTGAAGAACTGCAAAATTCAGCTCGTTGCAGCCGTGCACGCAAACGTATGCAATCCCACTGGCAGGGCCTTCACTCAGATCCTCGAACTTGCCGACTATAAAGGACAGATTGGCCAGACAAGTCTTGTTGCCCTCCACGCACGAGCCGTAGCTGTTCACAGCCTCTACGTAGCGCTCAAACCCAGCTCGCTTCTCAAGATCGAGGGCAATCACTGCCGTGCGCGGGAAGCGGTATGCCAGCAGAACAGCCAACAGCCCATGTCCGCTTGCTACATCGTAGATGCGGTCGAGGACGGGCAAACCACGCTCTTTCCGCGTGGCATTACAGCGTTGTAGGTGTGAAACCACCTTCTTCCAAACTTCGACGGTTTCAAAAACCTCCTTTATACGTAAGTGGTCGGCCGACTTTTGCAACAAGACATCGAAAGCCTTCAGGAGCTCCTCCTCGCCGTTGAAACTACTGACGAGATACCTGAGAAACGGAGGTTACGACTGGGAGTCCGACAAGCAGCATGCATCAGAAGCTCGGCGTCTTAATCCCTACTTTCAGTGCGTGAGCCAACCGGACATTGTGCTAATGCCACAATCGAACACAGGCTTCTTGGCAAGACGCAGCTTCAGAAGCTCCTTCTGGGATTCGGACAGATCAAAGAATTTCGTAGAAACGTCCAGGGTGCCGGCACGCCGGCAAGGAAACTGTGCGAGCGCCGACATCCCCCGAGACCAAGGATTCGCAGAATCCCCGCCGGGCCGTGCCTGGGCCTCCGAGCCGGCGGAGCCTTGCCTGCGCTGATGATGCTTGCTAGCATAGTGCTGCTTCCATGCCGTCGCCGAGGAGCAGCGGGCACTGCACACTTCGCACCAGTAGCCTGCATGGCCATGGCTGTCTGCGCAAGCGCCATTGGAATGCAGGCGTGCGGCAGCTGCCGCTTTCTCGGCAGCCATAGCCAGCTCGTGGTTGCCACCCCATGCATCTGGTTCGGCCTTGTCCTCGCTTCTTACCCTGAGCTGGAACGCATCGTTTTCTCTGAGCCCTCGCCCCAAAGAGATCAGCTTGGAGATCTTTTTGCCGCTTGTCAGCAACTCCAGATTGCTGTCGGCCACGATCTCTGGGAGGTTGCCACTTTCGCGCAGGCTGTACAGCTCTAAGCGTGCGACAGAGACCTTCTCAAGACCCGGCGCGAAGGCTGCCTTCACAGCACGAAGCCATCGACCTATGTCTAAAAAACCGTCCACGGGAACCTCAGCAGGGCACTTCGTCCGCAGTTTACAACTGAAACAAAATCACAGCACCGGGCCTGCTTGGACGTAGTCCTAAACTGCACCCACAGCGCCTGGGCTGGGCTCTGGTCGTCACCCATGGCAGGGAGGGCTCCGTAGACGTTTCTTTCACATCACGTGAGACTGATGCTAGAGACAATGGAAAGACTTCGACCAGGAAAAGTCACCTCGTCCTGCAGGTTCCCTAGGAGAGTGGTGTAAGATAAAAAAGTGGTGACTGCGGCTGGGTGTTGGTTGACGTATTTCAACAGGGCGCGCTTGAGAGCCAGTGCATCATTCAAGCGTGGGCATGCGTGGGCCACTCTTTCCTTCATTGCTCGTTCAGCCTGGCGGTAGCTCCAAGGTGTGCCCAAACCTTGCAGCGT